AAGATAATAATTATACTAGTGGTACTTCATAAATCATTGAGCTAAACATAAATTTTCTCCGGCCAAAAAAATTCTTTTTTTTTTTCAAAAGGGTAAAGTATTTGTTAGATAAATTTTTTTTAAAATATATCTCAAAATTAAGTTAATTTAAGAAACTCTTATAAAAAATAATTTATTTTTAAGTTAAAAATAAATTTATTTAGTCTTTTCTTATGAAATTTTAATAAAATAACATAATTTTAAATATTTTTCTCTTAATTTTTTTAAAAAAATATTTAAAATTTAACTGATAAATACTAATATATATTCAAGTCCTACCACTCTTATCCATGAATTTCCTAAAGTACCAGTTGAGACTTGAATTTTGTCTGATTTTCTGGGTATGCCCAGTGCCCAGTGGAGAATGTAGATACATGTTTTTTTCCCTCTTGGGATTATGACATCATTGAACTTTGATTGACCAGAATACGCCCAGTGGAGACTTCAATTTTGTCTGATTTTCTGGGTATGCCCAGTGCCCAGTGGAGAATGTAGATACATGTTTTTTCCCCCTTGGGATTATGACATTATTGAACTTTGATTGACCAGGATACGCAATTTTGTCTGATTTCCTGGGTATACCCAGTTGATAATGTACATAAACGTTTTTTTCCTTCTTGGGATTATGACATTAATTGACCTTTCTTAAAAAACATGAAGATAAAATTGAAAAACATATTGAATTGCTTCTAGATTTGTAGCTTAGGACATTTGGAGAAGACTTCCTAGCTTTCTCATGATCTTTTTAGGAGAAGCGATGATATTATATAAGCTTGATTTTCTTGCAATTTGACAGATAAAATCTGAATTAGTATATCAGACAATTGTATGATCAAAAATAAGATTTTCTGATTGCCAAAGAGAAAAGCTTAAAATATTCACAAATTAGGGGCATATATCAAAAGAACAAAAGAGGATATATATCATTGTGACACAAGTAAACTCTATTGCGTAACCTACCCCTATCAACTTGCTGGGGATTTAGAAGCTATGATACACCTAATCTTGTAAGCTTTAAACAATGATAAAATGTCAAACCATGGATTTTCCTTTCCCACCTATGAAGAATAATAGCTCACAATTTGAAATTTCTGGTAAAACAGAAACGCAAGCATTGGTAATGAGATACATGTATACCTGAAGAATCAATTTTTGTATAAAATCAGCTAAGACTCAGCGCTTTCAATCATGAGGGATCTGGTTCCAGCTTCGGAACTATAGCAGAAGCCAGCCCTATGTGAGAGACGCGGACTGCACCAATCAGTCGCTCTGGCAGTTCATCTGGAGTGTTCGCCTGTAGTTTAATATAATGAATACATCAAAAATAATTTAAAAGATTGTAAAACCAATGCTATCGATGACTTTCACAGTATGATTTCCAATGTAAACTGCACTCTCAGTTCTGTTTACTAGCAATTGCCACAGCCTCAAAACTACACATTATCATTTCTCCTCTGGATTTTCGTACCAAACAGATATCATAATCCAAACTAGAGAAGTAACTTCAGTCAATTACTACAATTACTTCCTCCCTCCCAAAATAACTGTCATTTTTTAATTTTAAATTTATCATGGTTTTTTCATTTTTTAAAGTAAAAAAATATTTTTTTCCTACTTTAACCTTATCATTATCTATTCACTTTAATTAACAATTCAATCAGAAAACGTCTATTATTTCATTTTTAAGAGTATTATAGATAAATACAAATATTGTCCCCAAATCCTTAATTTAGGGTAAAAGTAAAAAAGTACAACTATTTTGGGAAGTAGGGAGTAATTGATCACACTTTCACCTCTCTAAGTGCTAGCTACTGCAAAATATCAGATTAAAATTATACATTATTTCAGCTAAAACCCAAGAACTCCAGAAAAGGTTCTCAAGGAATAAAACATATTGAAGAGGAAATTATAAGGCTACTTCAAATTAGTTTCAACACAATAAACTATGCACATTATAATTAGACGGTTATTTTTATGGTTAAAATTCAGCTATGCACTTGGTGCTCAGCATTGCTCGCAATACACGGCAGCATCTGCATGTCATTAAGAAGTTGGGGTACATAACGACATTGTTTAAACGATGATACCTGTACAAGAAAAGCCATATCAACCACCAATGTTGTAATGACACCAATGACAAGTCCCAATACACCATTAGCAACAGTAGAGGATCCTATGTCAACATCAATCTACAGAAAGGCAAACACGCAACCCATATCAATTGCATTGACCAGACATAATGCATAGTATCACAAACTAAAGAAAATGCAAGGCTATTTACTTCTAAGTATTTAGGACTCCGGATATAGTTGCAATCAACTGCTTTTCCCAATAAACAAGGGGTGCTTCCAACACTCTGGCGCACAATCCATGATCCCTGCAAGACTCAGCCTGCAGAATGTTAATAAATGTATTTCAACAAAAAAAAGAAATAAAGTAAAAACATCCTAGCAGGACTGGGGGTAATTTATCCCATTAACCCTCTGAAAATTTATGTACAATATAGGGCAACAACAATCAATGAAATCCAGTTAGGCTACTCTTGGACTAATTTACAAGCCTAAATGGCCCAGCCATGTCCAAACCAATGAACAAACAAAAAATAACAAAATACTATCACTCAAAGATGGAACAAAACAAATAAAAATTAAAAAATGGAACACTTTGGTACAATGAAGTAATAAACCATAGAATAATGTATCTGAATGAATAGTCTCAAGACAAAGGAATTTCCTACTGTGTGAAAACATATACTTTTCTTAATAGGCTTTCACATTCACTTCTAACTGATTGATATAAAAAAGCAAAGCAATTATGATTCACAAGGGTGCCCTGTGATGGGACTTGGCAGTTGATACCAAACCATAATTATAAAATCATAACTGCTTCCATATGCTGCAGATCGACATCCTGACTGCACAACATTCATGCAGATGTAACAGAGAATGGCACAAACCTTTGGAACAGTTGGAATAAGCTTCAGCCTACTATTTCGGAATTCATCATCCCCATCAACAAATCGTTGCAAAAGAGATCCAGGTACCAATGCCTTTGTCACAAAATAGAATACCATACTGTAGTGTGTTGAACCAGGAACCTAAATGATACCAACCATATCACCCACTCAATCTCTGAATGCATATATTTCATAACTCAACAACAACTAAATAACAAAGTCGTACTTGAAGGTTTATGACCAAAGAAAAAAGGCCCTTTTCTGAAGCAACCTACAAAGACATTTACCAAAAAAAAAAAAAAAGGGGGATCAGAGACCAGTAGAGATATAAAGGAAAGAACATATTATCCAGACTGACAAGTTTTAATACCCATATCGAAGAAATAATAAATCAAGAATTCTGGACTGTTACAAAGGGGCAGAACCATAAAAGGAAACAAGACTCACTTGTGCAGCACAACCTTGACGCCTTGCAACATAGTCCATTCTTTTTGTGTCCTTAAACCAATCAACAGCAACAAGATCCATTAAGTGGTTCCCAGCAGGAACCTGTATTCCATATAGATTAATGAGAAACCAAGTTAAGTAAGAAACATTGTTTGGAAGACAAAAAAAATACATAAATAAACAAATAGAGGAGACAAAAACATGTTTTGTTAAAAACAGAGAGAGAGAAGAACATAAACCTTTGATTTGTCATGACAAAAATTCCTGCTACGAACTCGGAAGTTATTCCCATCAGATATTTTCCAGCAGTCACGACCACTATCACGGTCATCATGTCGTAGATTACCAGAAAAGCATGATAAATCAATTTGCTCAACTGGCTCCTCTTCCAAGGCTTTTAATTTTCAAAAAAGAATATTGTAAATCTGAGGTTAGATGTCAGTTTCATAACTTCTATTCTTATCCAAAAAACATATAATAGTTATTATCCACCTGTTCTCTTAATGCCATTCACATTAGAAGATGCCTGAAAATTGCAGGGGAAGAGAAACCTGCTGTTAGGAAGAAGGCATGCAAAAAGCAAAAAAAAAAAAAAATTTTGAAACCAGAAGGGTAACATGAAACCTCTTCTATCTCTGGTATTTGATATTCTTCATCCTCATCAGAGTCTTCATCCAACATTACAGAGTTCCTGCTTGTAGCATTCATTTGATCAAGAGATGGGGCAGGGTTAACAGATGACTCGTCTACTTTCTGAGTCCCCTTGGAAGAAACAGAAGCTGAGGCCATATTGACCATAACTGGGATTCGTGGAGGAGCACCCCTTTCATCTGTTTGGGCAAACCATTCACGCATTCCTGTCAAAAGTTGTAAATAACAATTTTTCAGTGAGGTATAAGAGTGCATAAAGAAGGATGGGGGGTGAAGAGAGATCAAAATCCATAGATTCAAGCAAAGAGAAAATTCTCTCTCCAACCACAGCAAATTACAAACCTCAAAATATAAAATATAGCAAAAAAAACTCACCTGCAACACTATTTAACATCTGAAGAAGGCAATGTTGCTGAAATGATGAAATATAACCCACAGCCCATCCTTTCAAATCAATCTGCATTAAATGCTGCACCTGTGTTCTAGGTCTCCCATTTCGAGGTTTTAGGGGTGCAATGTTGAATCCTCCACCTGAGAGAATTAGATTGTAGAACATAGGTGAGATGACGCCAAATAATAAATACCCATAGTCAAATTCTCAGCATTGACAAAGAAACTCATGTAGGACTTACTCTCAAGATGAGCCCGCACACATCCTGGTTGTGGACCACAGTTCTGATGCTCCCTAGAACGAAATAACACAACTGCACAATAACAAAAGACACAATAAAATAATTTCTGAAGAAGAAAAGCGAGATTTCAAATTACAAACTGATGTGAAAAAGACTTACCATAGCTTCCATCATCATTTCGACGCCAGTAACGCACGTAACAAAGGTCACGAGGCCACACAAACCTGCAATCACGATGATGATTCAAGAGTCAGTAAAAATTTAGAAAATACTAGCAAGATTTTGCTTGAATGATCCTCAAACTGGAGAAACAAACTAAGACTGTGGTGAATAGAATTTGTGGGTTTACCCTATGAGGATAACAAAGAAATTCAGTAACTTCATCCAAGAGCAACCAAAAGAAAGCAGCCCATTTGACAAGTCAAAGTAAGTAAAATTATTCATTTTTCCGGTTCTCAAGTACCATATCTTCATCTCTCTTTCCTCTTTTTTTTGGCACTAATTTAGTTTTTGGCCGTAATTGTCTTAATTAACAATATATTGAATTTCCCCTTTTCTTTTTCTGAAAAAAATTCTCCATTACATCTCTCTCCCATTTTGGGCACTGTTGTTTGTGCTACTACTGTATAATACATTTTGATAGAAAACATTATGCTCAATACTCAAACTTCAATTTTTAATGGTAGGAGTGTGCTTTTTATCTAATGGAAGGGTAAAAACACAATTAAAAATGCAAAAATGGATGCACAGGAAGGGCTATGGCACTTAAAAGCTCTACTTTGAGATAGCTGATGAATTTTGACACTCAAATAAAAATAAAAAATAATAAAAATTAACTCGGATGGAATGTTACATGGGGAACCAGTCCAATTGAAGTTTATGATAGAGTATTGCTGTGTGCCCATCTACCTCTTCAACTAAGCTACCATACTGAAAACTGCAATCCCACCTGCAGAAATAAAATATACATTTGTATGCGTTTAAGATACTCCTTCAATGTAGAGAAAGTTAAAAAGGCTAAGTTATAAACATCCTTGCAAAACAGAGTATATGCAGACATTTATGCGTCTATGTTTGGTTAATTATAATTGCACAAAGGTAAAGATTTTTCAAGCATTGCACCGAGAACCATTAAAAGCAAGCTTATAGAGCCAACCTGCAAAATATTTACCAAGAAAATGAACACATACTCAAATCTTGTTCCATCCATGCTCATTAAAAGGCCAAATATTTCTTCACAAGTAGCCTCCACAACACCTACAGCCTTCATTGCCCTACTACAGCTTCTTGGCTGCATCAAGAAAAATATAAATGACAGTTACAACCCAAAACATTTTAACACATAACAAAATCATGTACTAGGAACAAGCAAGGAAACAGTTACATACATGGTAATCAACTTCAAGAAGCTCTTCAAAAATGCGAAGTCCTGTGAGATGGAAAACAAAGATGATTTGAATTCCAAGTGACTGACAAAAACCATTGCAGCAAGCACTAAATATGTCCACCTCTTCATTGGTCACAAATCCCTTTTTCATGGCATCCTGTGCTAAACTTCGAAAATTAAACACATAAGTAAAAAAGTCATAAACACTAACCATTTTGGCACGTAAGAAGACGCCAATGCTTTCTAGAAAAAGCTTGGTTGTTGGCACCTGGGTTTGACAACTCTGAGTCAACTTCCTTTGTCCAGTCCAACATCGAATCAGGAGGACCTGAAATTCATGGTGAAAATGAAATTCCGATAACAAATGCACAAAATTAATTTGATGTAGTTGAGGTATGGATGTCAGTGAGAACCATTTCCAATTGTTTTTCTACGTTGCAAACTCGGTCGATTATCATCTTCATCCTCCTGGGCACCAAACCTTAAGAAGAAATACACAAATTTAGAGAGTATGCATGCAGAGTCATATTTAACCCTAGTAGCTTGGGCTACTATAGCAAATATGAAAAACCATACTAGTCAAAATATAAATTTGTGATTCATTGACACACTTTGAAGTTTAAAGTTACAAAAACAAGCCACCACAAAGAGGGAAAAATGACAAACTAGGACTTACTGACTTTCATGGTCTGATGAGGAACCATTCCTCCCATTATCCATTCCAGCTTTATATTCAAAAGAAACATATGTGTTACCATTTGCAACTTGTGACTCTTGATGCTGTACATGTTAATAAATAATTAGTGCAAACAAATTTATCCACAGAATATGTGAATATACAAGTGTATAAATGGTGAATTCCCAAGCAGCTACAAAAAAAGACAAATTTGAAATGGGGAAACGATAAGGGTAGTCAAGTATAGATTGACAGAAAAACCTGATCAATTACAGATTCAATTGTTTCCTTCCAGATTAGTGCTTCGTGGATGTTGAATGCTGCCATCTGGTAAGAAGAAAGCAGGTATCAATTATCACAAAATTTTTGAAGACAAGTTTTAGCAACAACTACTTCAGAATGCAACTGAAAAGGTCCATTGACATCTCAATTGAGCCCTATCAGTTTTCAGATGCCAGACAAACATAGCCAACAACATCACCAAAGCAAGTTGAATGCAAATTGTCACTTGAGAAACAGTTTCCTTGTGAAAGTTTTTATGTCCTCATCTTATGGTAAATTACAGTCACCACTTCATACCATCAGCCATACAGTCTGGTGGTAGAGTTGCTTGTGCTCTTAGTCACAAGTCTAGGGTTCAATCCTTAGACTCTACATACCAAAAAAAACCAGTCACAACTTCATAATAGAACAAGTGACTCAATTAAGGAAATGCCAAAAATGATTTGGCATGTATCAAAGCAAATTATAAAGCTGAAGTTGGCAGAGCAGAACTAAGTGTGAGCTCAATCAATGCTTAACAGACTGGATCCAATATTGAACTGGCAAAGCTACCATTTAAACCACTTGAGCTCACAAATAAATAACCAATGATAGTACAGTATGCTTTGCCAACCTCCTCTACCCTACCCCAGGTTGCTCCCAAAGAAGAAGGGAAAATTGTAGTAAACAAATCCAAAAACTTGCTTTAACTTTGTTAACCAACCACTTGCTCCGATAAATCATGCACCAAAGATGAATATTCATTTACTGTTTACAGAAAATAAAAAGAAAAGAATTCAAACCATGATTCTATGGTGCTTCTCTTTCTTGTTGTAAACAGACAAAACATAAACCACCTGCATAACATAATCAAAAGTGAGCAAAACTGAAAGCTTACAATATTTTAAACTCCATCCACCAGAAAGAATATATTCTACTGTGTAAAGGACTGTTATTCATGACAATAATAATCCTGAACCCACACAAGAAAACTCAAAACAGATAATCAAGAAGAATCAACAAGATAATGGACAATAAAAAGTAAGAGAAAATAAAACTACTTTTGCCAACAACAGATACAGTGGAGCTCCCAAACATTATCCCAAGAGAAATGCCCACTTGGGATAGAATGCATACAGTCATCACGTAGCAAAAGAAATGCACACTTTGTTGCCACAACCAAGAATCATTTGAGGTTAATGCAGCAACAAAATTATTAAAACAAGAAAGGTTGCATAAAGCTGGAAACAATTTCATCAAAATAACCTATACACCATATTATTACCATGAAAATATTAGCAGACTAAATATAGGACCCATGCACATAAGCAAAGGATAACATACATGTCCATGGTGAGTCTTCAAGCCTCGATCCTCCACCCTACAGTTTCCATCTATTACCAAGGTCTGGATAGGAACCTAATTTACCATACATAAAAATTTGAGGTCAAGAGTTGGTTAATTAGACAAAACCTGAAATTAAACCATAAGCTGTTCAGCAACAAAGCAAAGATTCAATAAGAGAATCATTCTCCTCCTCTCTCATTTAAGTAATAGTTAGAAGATATAATCCTGATACGCACATCACCTTTTGTGAACAAGGTGCTTCTGCTTTAACTAAAATGTATCTGATTAAAATTACCAATCCGTAGAGAAATGGAATTTCACAGTAATTAACATCTCCAAAAGCAACTTTTTCCCCCCTTCAACCATGCTTCCAGAAAAAAGAAAAAGGAGACGGATAACCATACAATACATTGAGGTTTAAGAACCAAAATAATATATGCACTATCTTGAGCTTGTTTACCTGAATATCTTGAGGCTTCTTCTTGTAATAAGCCAGAAGCCGAGTCTCGAGTACGAAATACCGCATGTGAATGTACGATCGTCCAATCTTCCTCCGGCCACATCTCACCATCCACCCTTCGTACACGACCTTCGACATCTCCACCTCCTCACAATCCACTAAATCCCTACCAACAACCACAGAGAACTCAAATTCCAAAAACTAGCTCGCAGAACTGGAAGCTTAGATCGCAGTCTTGGCTTCCGCAAGACCAGTGCCAACTATGTCACTTGATCGCTCATCATTTCACCTTCCCTCCTCACATCAAAAATCGAGAAATCACTGAATCGTGTATTTGAATCCTCATTTCTTGAAATAGTGCCAGAATCTGAAATCACACACTGCGACAAACCGAGAAAACCGAAAAACGATATTTGACTTTATATTAAAAACAAAAAAATCAAAATAGTAACAGAAACAGTAAACAAGCTCGATCGAGTGCAGTTGTAGGAAAAAAATATTTCTTCGTTTTTCCAGAGAAAGGAGATTTATGGATAATACGGCGGAGTGATGGTGGTGGTGGTGGTGGTTGGGATATGCCGGGATCGGCGAAGAAGAAGGGGACAACGACGACGTGAGCCGGAGTGACAATGCGACGGAGGATGGAGGGAAGGATTTGGAGATCCCACGTAAGTCAAAACTCAAAAGGGGGAAAGGTGTAGGTGTTAGGGGCCACGTCGAGGATTTTGATTCGGTGTTTCAAAAATAAAAACCGGACCGGGGATCGACCCGGTAATCATCTCGGGTCTTGTGATGATTTTTATGCCAATTTTACTTAGTGGAGAAGTAGAGAAAGTATAACTTTATGGCCAAATCCCCAAATAAAATTTTTAGTAATTATATAGTTATAATATAATA